TGCTATCACACGCGCGATAAACGCCCACGGAGAAGGTGTGCTGGGCTTTAAGTCCTGAAGAGGATAAATGCGCGCAGATTCAACACCAGTCTGCGCGCTGCTGACTGAAGTTTGGGGGGTATTATCGGCAAAATCACAAACGGCACCATCTTGTTCAGATACCGAGCAGTCTTCTAAAGATGACACCTTTAGACGTGCTCTCGCGCTGTCCCGAAGGTAATCTGGTAGGTCCCGAAAGCGGCATTCTTTCTTAGTATACACACAGTTTTCATCATTCCACGCGGCGTTTTTTCGCAGCTCTGCAATTCGATGGAGTAGTAGATCGTCGTGTTCCGGAGGTGCAATCGTTACCCAATGCAAAGCAACACCGTATCGATAGCGCATGGCGCCGAGTTTAGGTCGCGTTGCTGCTCTCTCGAACGGCGAAAAAGGAACACTGCCACCAACTAGAGATAGCAGTCTCAACAGACCTGCATTTAAACGACGTGCTTCGCTTGAATCTGAATGATCCTTAGCAAATATGAGAGACTCTTTAAATCTCTGTGTGCTAATTAACTTTCCAAACTTCTCCATTGTTTTGCCGTGCGTAACTCCAACACGTGCTGCCTTCTGCACCGCCACGCGCCTCTGCATTTGATTAAACAACGTCGACGTGAAAGCCACAGATCTTTCGAAACGGCCATCCCAGTAATGCATAAAGTGGTCAACAAATCGCTGCGGCAACGGACCAGGAGGAAGAGGATCTGACCCCGTAAGAAACAAATCAGGGAAAACACTCGCTAAAAGTTTAGCGTTATCCACCCATTCCACAAACGGTGATCGACCACACTTGATAGGGATCACTGGCGCACTTAAAGCATCTTCGGTCTGGTTGCCCTCGATAGCGCTGGACATAGCATGTATTATTTCGTGAACAACTCTTGAATCACTTTGATCAATCTGAGGCAGAACAGCTGAAGCTCGTACAACAACCTCATCAGTCAAGCCACCGTCATCGATTTCACATCCACGGCTTTCAGATGCAATCTCTTCGTCGATGCCGCTTACAACATCGGACTCGGATATGTGAACTTCACTTTCAACGGCAGACGCCATTTCCCGCAGCAACTCTCGACGCCTCGGAGTGTCTACCACTATAATTTCCTCTTCTCGAAAAACACTATTGATTCCACTTAAAACAGCCAACCACTTGAAGACTTTATCCACCTCGATCGTATATACTGCAGAGAATTTTTTCCGCTGAACTCGCCATAATTCACGAGGCCCGATGAATGTAACTCGAGGCATACCTGTTAAATCCACCTTCGGTAATTCACGAGCTAGCTCGAATGGAGCGTTCGTTGGGAAGCAAATGGCGTGACCTCTTGAATGTTTTCCTGACAGCGATATTTCGAGTCCAAAACATCTAGCGGGCGAAATACACCACAAAGAGGCGTCATTTAGAGAGGGCAGCCTTCCGCAACGACCATAATCTTGACCGGCAGCGACACTAAACTCATTTTCACGCGGGTTGGCATGACATCTTTTGCAAAGTGGTATTCTTTCGTGGTCTCGTACGAGCTCAGGAATCAAATAGTAAATTTTATCTCCAAAATAGTAAAGTTGTCTATAGGAACGCATGACTGGTTCGGGTATTTCTTCAAACAATCGTTTTTTTTTTCTGTTCGGAAAGTAAAACAGTATCCAGCTGCGAACGCCCGACAAAGAACATCTTGTCAGAATCAGTGTGAAGCAGTATTCGCCCACAGGCCGCGCAAGCCCAAACCGAAGTCGCTTCAGGGCGAAGCGAAGGCTGGGATAGTTTAAAAAAAACGAAAATGTATTGTTTTCTTACTTTTTTTTAAAAAAAAATGCAAAATTGTCGTGTACGAAACGCTAAGTTTAAAGCCCGGAAAGAGGTGAGAACGTATGGGATGGCGCCAAACCACCGTACCAATTACGGAGTAGGTCGGCGCGATCGATCGCAGGTTCGTGTAGAATCTCCGATGCAGGACCAACTGAAACTGCAGCGGGGCTGCCGTAGCTTTAGCGTCAGAGGAAGACGTTCGACTCAAAGAGTCACTAATACTAAGTTCCTTATCCAAAGGACACTTACAGCCCAAGACCAGGGCTCAAAGTTAACACCTTAGCTTTTATGCTTCAAAACCAGAAGTGATTTATTTACTATTATTGCGGCCAAGCCGCCTAGGGGTAAATGTATCTCTTTAACTATCTAGCATAGTTAAACCTAATCAAATGCATAACGTGTGGCTTTCAGCCAACGTACTGAGAGACCTTGTTAACTCTCCAACTTATGTACTGAGAGTTTGTTAACTCTCCGGGTACTTCGTACCCCTGTGTGTTCCACACCATGTAACCCCGTTACACTCTCCCTCACTAAGATGAGAACATTCCGTTCTCGAACTTTCCTCAGCGAGGTCACGTCTTGTCAAGACGACGGAGGTCACTAGACCTCACCTGTGCGTTCTGCAGCTCCACGAGCTCACAAACGCGTTCGCATCCTTGATGCCTGGCACTCCCACTCCGGCCCACGGCCCAACGTCTCCAGCGCGTCGCGCCGCCCCTGCCTCGTCGGTCCCAGACCCCCAACTGCGCTCCGCAACTGCTCCAAGAGCATCTTCGTCTCTTTCGGTGGCGGAGTAACCACCAAGAGTATCGGCCGTCGACACGGGCCAACGCTCCATGTAACCTGCACAAAAAGAGAGCAAAGATCAAGACTCGTCAAGGCCGCGGGGCCGCCTAGACAGAAATAGGAACAATCACAGGAAGCTAAAATAAGGACTTCGATTAGACGAACGCGAGAGGGGAGGGGGGAGTGCGAATGACACCTGTTTGGGGCAGTAGTCTGGTGTGCTGAAGAGACAGGATGTCCTCTTTATAGGTGACTCTGTAAGCTGCTCTCTGTGAGTGTGTTTAG